CTCTTTCAGAAGTTTGTCTAGCTTTAAAAAAATGTGAGAAAAAATTGGAAAGACAGGACAAACAAAACTGAAGAGATGGATTCTCTGTCCACACAATCACAAGCGCTCCTCCCTTCTTTTACCAAGTTGCAACTTCAGAGAAATTTTCATGAGGCATCGGCATCATCTGTGAAGGTACTTAAAGCTGAAAATGAGTGATTTTCAGGTAAAGTGTCACACTATTTTAACAGCTGGCAGCTGACCTCACACAGGTTTGCACAGACATAACCAATGTGCAAGACAAAGTAAAAAGCAGACAGGTGCCACTATCCAAAACAACACTTCAAGAAGATGCATGAAACTTAAACTGCTTCACATTTATGGGGCTTCTATGAGGTTATCATACCTATCTTTAATTTTCCCTGACATTAAACTAGGTAGGATTACAATCAATTTTCTGCTAAGAAAAGACATATTTTGTTTCAAATTTTCAGAATTTAAACCATAACCTGACAAAAAATAATTGAGGGCCACACCTGGAAGCCAATGTCCCTGAAACTACAACCAAAGAAGGGAAAAAGTAGAGACAGAGTGGCCAAAGTTCAACACCTTTTGAAAAGTAGAGGCAGCTCTCTTGGCTTCATGGACCATGCTCCAGACCCTTCTGTATTTGATATCCTTTAGCACAATGCTAAGAAGGAAAAGAAAAGAAACAAAAACCCAAACCCAATTTGGATAGTAATAGGCTCATAATAATGAATTGACTACACTGGAAAATCACCATCCAGGAAAAGAAAAAAAAAAATTAAAAGATGATATCAAGTGCATTTCAGCATTAGTGCACTGCTGAATCAAGTAAAAAAGTATCCTATGTACAAGGTAAACACACTCCAAAAACTGTTTCCCTACACCTTCTCATAATAATACTAAATGGTAATTTTTAAAAGAGTAGTCAAGAAACCAAATGGATTTTAACACTATTTTGTGTGGTAAAATAAAACACACTGTGTATGAAGATATTTGTTGAGGTGTGTTTTAATTTTCTTTTTTCCTCTTAACTGAAGTGAGTGTACATTGTAAACGTCAGAGAAACAAAAATTGAAACAGTCCGCTGTACATTCCTGGAAATGAACTTCAAAGCACATCTGGTTTACATTTAACTAGTTATGTCACTGGAAACACAAACTAAACCATGGAGCTTGTCATAAAAATCTCAACTTTCACGGACTCAGGAGCCTCAAACAAGTCTCCTACTCCTCATTACAAACTGATAAAAAATTTTAATTGAACTACAAACAAAACCAAGGAAGGGTTTTGTTGTTTCTTCAGAGTTGCTGATGACACTCATATTAAAAATTTCTTGGTGACTAATATGCATCAGGGCATTTTCAGTGCTCAATACAGAGCTCCTGACTAGAGCAGGTTTTTACAACCAGTGAATTTGTAACTCGAAAACGAATTACAAGAAACAGGGCAGAAAGAGAATAGTTTCTTTCGCTGCTGCCAAACTAGCATTACTACTGCCTACCCAACTGAATAAAAACACAACTCATTTAATAGGTTTTACAGACACTTTTACACAAAGCAGCTCTGACCAACTTTTTTTTTACCTCACTGGCTAAATTTAGACATCAATCTCACTAAAAGATTCAAAATGTATTAATAATGATAGTTTCTTGCCATTAATAATAATTTCTTGCAATTAAGAAATAAATCCAAGTTCACTGTTTGAAAATTTAGATAGATTTTAGATTTTATTTCAACAAGATTGGCTGCATTCTGGCTTCTCATCCACCCAGTGCTTTATGCCCTGATGTTCTTGCTAGTGATCACCTCCCCTTACCATACACCACATCAGTTTTTCTGTCTAGGAGATTCCTCAAGAAACATGTACACTAAGGGCACACAGTAACATTGTTTTTTACAGACAGAAATCTTCCAGCGCACAGACACTGATCACCGAGACAGACCCTGGAGAATAAATTCCTGAGCACTGCGGGCAGATAGGCACTGAGACAACTTGGCACAGAAAACTCTGTAAATCTATGAGGATTGGCACAAAAAAAGCCCCACTCTGATCAAGTGGTAACAATTTGTAACATGCAGAAAGAGCAAGAACTAACTCTTAAAGGTGACGTCTGAAACCCACATGTATTAAAATACAAAGGAATATAATTTCTTTTTGATTTGAAGGGGTGAAGATGTTTTGTACAGAACATGCGAATGATTTTATACTGCTAGAATTTAAAACATTTCCATTTTCCTTTCCATGTGTTTGCTTAGCTGTATGGCAGTAACTTCTACCTGATCAATAATGATAAGGAGCTCAGGATAGTAATATCTTCCACCACTTCAGAAAAATCTGGATGCTGACACTGGTTTACATAACAAGTGTTTTGCAACAAAGAACTACAGCTTCTTCATCACTTAAAGAAATACCAAACCACTTAACTATAAAAACTTTCTAATGATTAAAAATACTGAGATTTACAGACTGTGGAACCAAACAAAATAATGGAGAAGACCTGTAAAATTCTACTATGCCGAATACTAATTAAGAGTTGGCACACAAGCTAATGCTTCCAATTTTACTTTTCTTTGGAACAGTTTTTCATGTATTTTATTTCTCATTAGTTTCTGCTATATGACTTTTTTCTGCTTTAACATCTGTGTTAAAGAGTAATATAAGAAAGCAATTTTGATTATACTGTAAAAATAAAGGACAATTTTAGTATTACTAGGCAGTAATACCCAGGTCCTGGAATGCACCACAGATAACAGGATTTGATACAGAATTAACTATTACCACAGACTGAAGGGAGGAAAGAAAAAGGGAACTCTGTGATCAAGAATGATGCATTTCTCTAAACGACAGACACGGTATTCCTGCTATTGTGATCAAAGGCATGTATTCCCCTCTATTTTAGTTTAAAAATAGCTATGCTAAGGAAAACATTATCATATAAAATTAAATTATTACCTTGAAAGAAATTCAACAGCAATACCCAACATACTGAAAAGCAGAGAAAATAAAAGAGAAATGTGGAGATTAAGGTATCATCACAGCTCTTTTCCTCTGGTATCTGCCATGACTCTGTGCTGTTTTTCTTGGACATGACACATTAAATGACAAACCTGACGTGATGTGCAGGTTCCTCACCTTCACAGGTGTCTGTCTCCGAGCTGAACAGGTAACCCTTGGGGCAGGAGCAGCTGTAGCTGCCCGGGGTGTTCCGGCAGAGCCCGTTGTCACACAGCAGCCCGTTCACAGAGCACTCATCGACGTCTGCAGGGACAGGAGACAGACCACGACCAAAACTGACACTTCTTACTTTCAAAGCTCTAATTCTCTTTCAGGTTTTCACTGCAAGAATTTCTGTCCTGCCTTTAAAGTTGGTTTTTTTTCCCACTAGCCAAATCAAAAATTAGTCCATGGTTAGTCTTTAAGGAATAATTATGTTTTCTTGCAATGACACTGACCATCTGAGTTTGGTCAATAACCTTGGTCACATAACAGTGATCTTTGTCATTGGTACAACTTACACCATATAAATTCATGAAGCTTTATTTGCTTTGAAAACAGTATTTTAACTATTTAACTATTTTTTTTTTTAAGCACACAAACAGTAGTGTGTTAATTACAGTTCCAACTCTGTTTTATAGGCTAAAATTGTTTTAATTATCCATGAAGTGGATTAAAATCTGTCATGTAAAGTTCATGTACGGCAGCCATCTCAAGAGAACACATGTATCTCCCCTCCAGAGGAACACTGCATTTAAAAAAACCCCATGATTAAGACCAGGATATCAAGCACACTAACTAGGAAAATCCCATATATTAATACAATTCCCTGAATTCATCTTAAACTAACTAAAAATAGTTCTAATAAAAAGTAATGTGTCTTCCTCATTGCTCTACTATTTATTCTATGAAAGAAGAAAAAAATGTAATTTTAAGCCTTTTCCTTTAATGCCTATCACATGTCAAAACAACCTATGCTTACAGAAGAATTCAGATACAGTAAGTCAGGATAAACGTGACATTTTATGCCGCTTCAGGTTGTTTCCTCTTTATTGACTGCTTGATTTTCCAAGCCTAACACTGCAACTGAAATCTTAAATAGATTCTTAGAGTTTTTAAGTTCAAAAATATAGAAGAAAAGTGAGAATGCAATATAACTACAATCTGGAGAATTTTGGTTTCCCCAACTACTTTAGCTTTCCAAGCTGTGCTTGTTCCTGAAGGATTCAGACAACAAAGCCTAAATTTCCCCAGATGATGAATCCCAGATTTAAATCTGGCAGCCATGAATTAAAAAAAGAAAGCTCTTCTTTACTAACCTGTCCTTAATCTGAATTAATTTTATTTTAACCAAGGAAAAGGGGAATAAATTTGTAAACTGACACTTTCAAGAGCAATTCTGAGCTTGTGGTCATACAATCCCTTAGCCCAAACTGTGCACTGTGATGAATGCATTATTTCATTAGAATCTCATACAATATCTTCAGATTTGGACTATAATCTGTTGTGACATGCTCTGTAAAAACACCAAACAATGTAGTTCATACTTTAAATCCACTCAGACCTGACAAAAATACTGTATGCATTCTAACAAATAACCATTTTATTTCCTGGTATCTCATAATTAATTAAAACCTTTCAACCTCTTATCTGAGTGCTCATACTTAAATTCTTTTACAGAAAAATTCTACCCAAGGATAAACACATCCTCACAGTCAGTCAGGTTTATCTTTATTTAAGTAAATACATAGATTATACTAGCACTTACCTAATCCCAAGAGTAACTAGATAAATAAAACCCCTTCCCAAAATATCCACTTGGAGAACGAATTTCACATGAAGCATTTTAAAAGTGAAAACACCAATACTTTTCTGCAGCAGCTTTTCCTGCCAAAAGGTCATATTTAGGGCTTTAGGAAGTAACTAGATGTAAAGTTCCTTTATTCAAGCAGATGAAAGGAGACACTTTCTTTACTTTGTGTTTGGTTTGCATCACCAGGAAGGAATGTTTGATATGAAAACTACATCAGAGCTATACAGACCAGGTTTTCTCCAGCAAAACTGGTGGAGTTGTGTTGAGCACAGACAGCAGTGACAGGTAAGTAAACCTTTAAGTGCAGAGAGCAGTAATTCACAAAAATAAATACAGTACTTAAGGACAATACTTTGGACATCCTAATGGTTTCAGAGAGAATTCCATTAGCTTTTATTTTAAACAAACTTCACCTTTCTGCTTAAAATTACAAGGCTATAAGCAAAATCATTATACAACGCACTTGTGGTATAATATACTTTTTTTGGATGTAAGAATTCCCAAAAGAAAACACAAAAAAACACTGGATTTCCTGTATGGCCATGAATAATAAAACCAATTAGATGGAGAGTGAAACCTGCAATGCTACCTCCTGCTTAGACTTCCCAAACAGCAACACTCACCCACCAAATGACAGGAAAATACACAGTAAGAATAACAATTATGCAGTGATTGAGAAAAGCATTATTCCAGGTTTTCTGCATTTTGATTGTAGCTTGAAGCTGAAATTCTGTCAGGTCACATCAGCATCAACACAATGATAAATACTTCAGCCACAACCAAAAAAAAAAAAGCAAGAAACAACTCACCCACACAGCTGGTTCCAGCAGAATCAGGCTCATAGCCACTGTTGCAGTTACAGCGATAGCTGCCACGCAGGTTTTCACAAATCCCATTGGAGCAAATCTCAGGATCCAAAGCACACTCATTAATATCTGTATTTGCACAACAACAGAAGATAATCAGACCAGACTATGACAAACCTGTTCCCATGAGAGGCGTGGGCAACACCTGACCCAGTGGATGCTCTAAGTCAGAGCCAAGGCACAGCACAGGGGCAGCCCCAAGGCTGGAAGAGGAGATTATTCTCTTTTGTTTGACACCAGAAGGCCAAACCTGGAACACTGTGTCCAGTTTAGGGCCACTTTACAAGGGCCCACTCCTCAAGCCTCCTAATGCCCCTAAAGAAGCCTGTCACACTCCTGGACTCCTTGCCAAACTCAGCCCTAGAGTGCCCTAGCTTTTCCAATCCCATGCCTACACATCTGGGCATTCCTCTGCTCCTCACAGCATTCTTCCCTGGTTCCACTGACTGTGAATTTCCTTCTTACACTTCAGTTTGATCCTTACTCAGCCAGGCTGGCCTTTGCCTTTCTTGCCTGATTTCTTAACACAGAAACAGAATAGAACAGAACAGAACACTCTTGTGATCTCAGGAGAACATCCTCAAAGCTCTGTTCTGCTCCTTTAAACCTGAGGGCAGTTTCCAAGGGAATCCCATTCACCGATGCCTTAAGCAACTGCAAGTTGATGCTGATGAAATTCAGTGTGCTGTCTGTACTCTCCACCTGGCCCACAGCCCTCAGCTCAGCCTGACTTCCAACAGGGCATGACCAACACAGTCCAGGCTGCCATCAGTCTGGACATCACTAATTAGTTCACCTGTGTTGGTAATCAACAGGTCCAGAAATGCGCCTGCTCTGTTTAAACTATCACCTGGATTAAGAAATTTTCCCCTCAGAATGCTCCAAGTGTCTCCTGGACTACACACAACTCATGTCAGCATGGCTAAATTCCCTCAGCAGCATCAGTGCCTGAGTTGTAAGAAGTGGCTGAAGGGACTGGATTCCTTCAGCTGCAAAGAGGGAATATCAGAGGGACCTCCAACAGCACTTCCCTGATTTTAACAGATGATTACAGACAAGATGGAGACAGTTTCCTCTTTGAGGTGCACAATGACATGGCAAGAGACAACACTTGCAAGATACAACAGTGGAAATTTAAATTAAGCACCAGGAAAACAATTCTTCACCATGAGTGTCACTAAGCACTGGAGGAAACTGCCCAAAGAGGCTATGGGAACTCCATCTTTGGAGATTATCCAAATTCCACCAGGCAAGGCCTTGAGAAATGGTTCAAATTTGATGATACCCCTGCTCTGACTAGAAGGCTAGATTGGATGACCTCCAGATATCCTTTCCAGCCTAAACTGACAGGGAACTATGTGTTTGTAAGAAAAAGCTTGATGCAAATTACCTAGCCCGTGCACCCAGAGCCTGTGGTTTAGTGATCTAGGTAAGAAGTTATAAATTATGAGGTGACGCAAGAATTTTCCTAATACAAAAGTAATGCACAGGTCAAAACTAAAACATACTCAATCCTGTAAGAACTTGTTGGAAATTTAAAATTTTCCTCAGACACAGAGAAAAGGATGATGGATGAGTTATATTCCCTGAATTTACAGTCCCATATAAAATTTCTGCTGTAGTTGGAAAGGTCCAAAATATTCATATGAACTATAAGAAGAGGAACAGACTAATTTTTATACTTCTTGCCCCTGAGGAAAAGAGGGTTTTTCAGCATTTTCCTTCATATGGTAAGTACATTACCTTAAATAGTTCCTTTCCCAAGCCCTGGAAAGAAAGGCTGCTGGACTGGCTGTGACTTCATGAAAAGCTTGTTTTGTACTTGTAGGACTCAACTTTTTGTAAAGAACATTTCCTCTTTAATTACATTGCAGTTTAGATACTGGTTTACATTTAATCATATATGCATTTGGAAAAAAAACATGCTATCCCTGGATAAAACACAATGCTACGAGACATCTGAAAAACTTTTAAAGAAAATCCAGTTTGGCATACAACTTGTATTTTCTTTAGACCAAAATACATCCTGTAGCTTACTAAACATGTTTGAATCATGGGGACAAGACACATAAGGAGTGTACAAGCAGTGACAGGAGCAGCAGCATGAAAATTGGCTGCAATGCTGCTGTACAAGACGTACAGAGAACCCTGTGTTTGCTCCAGAAACCTGAACAAAGGAGGATTTTAGCTGAGACATGAACCCATGATCCCTGTCATGCATTTGGTAGATAGCACAGTTGTTTCAATGTATGAATGAGAAATTCTATTTTCTATGTGTCCAAAAGGACACAAATCTCTCTACCAGGCTGCATGCAAATTCTTATGGTAGGATGTTGCTTGCACAACAAGTTCCAACATTACTGAATGACATTCTTTCTCTGAGACTTAGAGACTCTTCAATGGACCTTGTTTAATTCACTGAAAAGTCAACTGAGAGAATTTATAAATTCTATAGGTTTCAAATTACTCATACAAGCTTACAACATGGTAAGCAATGAAGAAAAAAATATGCAGATACTTACAGTACTGAACAAAACCAGAATTTCTTTCATTTAAGTGGTATTTTAAAAGTTATTTAGGCTATTACTAAAGGTAATGATGGGAGTTCTTATTCTTTTCCTGCTGCATAGAATAGGAGCTTTGATGCAGACAAGGATAATTATTAACACACCAGAAAAATACCTAGCAGTAAATTTTATGGTCCTATATTCTCCTATTCCTTTTTCAATCCATTTTACTTATCTGGCAGCTGCAGCATGCTTTGCCCTGACTTCAGACCTGGCTCAGCCACTATTTTTTAAAAATCCCTGGGTACTAGAAAAAGGATCTGAAGCTTTACAGTTCCCAGTACTAAATGTAATTGGTCACTTTCAGGACTTTTTTTCATAAGGATGTGGTTTTTTTCAGTTAAGATCCCTTCCAATTTTTAACTCTACACAGAAACAATCTGTCTATGGAAATGATCCATGAGTGAACACTGGATCTGAAGTGAAAAACTGCTCTGCTACTATCCCAGCTGACTGAAAATCAACTGCAAATGCAAGTGACTCCTGTCAAATCAGAGAGAACTGTTTTATGCCTAATCTGAAAAAATCTCTAATCTCAAAAAAAAATAAAAAATCAAAGGTCAGAACTCTGAAACAGGTTATTTTTTTTTTCTTCATAGGGTCAGGCAAAATCCACTCTTCTAGAGAATCAGTTCCAGCCTTTTTGCAAAACAACACTCAAATACTGTACTTTGAGAAATAAAATACTAAAATCAACATATTAATCTTGAGGTTAAAAACTGCAGTCTAGTATGTTATTTAAAATGTAATTCTGAGAATTTTTTAAAAATTTTTAACCATTGTCCTGGAGTTACTTTATGGTGTGGAATTGTTAAATTGTTAATTGCTTGTTAAATAAACAGTTTTTTCCACTTTTCTCAAAAGAAATTTACCTCCCAAACTGGTTGGGGGAGAGGCCAGTTTAAATTTGCCATGTAGAAAAACCCACTTTAGAGATTTCCTCCCAAAATTTACCTGAAACGATGGCAGTCATATATATTAAAGAAAATATGCAACATACCTCTTCCATCAACAGTAATACCTATTCCACTGCTACACAGGCCATGGAACTCAGCTGCTTGGTTGAGGTGGAGATGTTGGGGGAAAAAAAAAAAGAGTTATTTCCAGTATTTCACCTTCTTTCATCCTAAAGTAAATCCACATGATTTTTCTCCCAAAGAAATTTTTTTACAATGTAACTAAGGGAATGCCAATGTTCACATGAAACAACCATTAACAGATAATTTAAGCTAAAGCTGTCAGGTAACACTCCATCCTGAACTTTCAGTTTCAGAGATATATATATGATTTTGATTTTGTATATATATATACACACAAAATCAAAATTAGATGATGAGAGGTAAACACTCAGGTGATTTCTTTATAATTTTGACATGACTATCCTCTCAAGTTACTGTTGTTATTCAGTTAATCAGCCACTTTTACTTGTTTTTTTCTGAATAGTTTTCTACTGCTTCAGAAAATAATACTTAATGGAAATTCTGTACAAGGTTCATCACTGCAGCTCTATAGTCACGAGATTTTTTTTTCTAAAATCAATCCCCAGGTTTACTCAAAGAATAAATTCTCATAAAATGAAATATAGATTTCTAGAAAGAACATGGGCTGTTCTTTTAAACTGGACTGATAGGACCAGGAAGTTTAAAGATTCATGGGAGAATTCTGCTTATTCTCTTGCAAGAATTATTATGGCAAACACTTAATTCAGGAACCCAAATTCACCCTGTTCACTTTTCTTTAGGGCATAAAATAGATCAACAATGTGATCTCAACAAGATTATTTTTGTTTAAAGTCTGTATGTTCACTGTACACAAAATTTTACCTGAGTTTTTAGCAGGGCAGGGATGACATGGCTCTCCAAAACCATAGTCAGGGTTGGCACAGCAGCATTCAGACTTTGTCACAGCACCAGGGAAGGGACGGACACACAGCCCTTTTCTGATGCCTCCATAGCACGTGCTGCGCACATGAGTATCTAAAGAAAAACAGAAAGAAGTAATTATTTCCTTAGGCTGAGAGTGAAATGTATGCATATTATCCCAAAAGCTGAAACCCCTTATTTTTGGTCAACAAAAAAGGTCACACTGGCTACATCTGCACTGCCTTAATAACCCTGATGGCACCAAGGCAAATTTTCAGCATGGTTACCTCCTGGGGCTTTCTCCAGAGCACTTTCAAACCACCTAAACCAGGATTTTGTGAGTAAATTCAAAGGCATTCCAAAGGACTCAAAAAAGGCAACCCACACCCCCAAGCAGCTCTGTAAATCCATCAACAAATATCCCAGTAAGGAACACAGAATGGCCTGGATCAGCATGTGGTGGCTGATTCTTCCCTTTGAGAAGGTCCCACAGACATCTCTGACTTCCTAAATGGTTCCTCAGGTAGGATAACACACCAGCAGCCCAGGGCTGTAATATGGGAGAATACCTGCTTCTGAAAGGAGGAGCATGGCCTCAAAATCATCAACAGAAATGCAATTTTAGCAGATTGTTCAGACCAGCATTTATGTGACATGATCATCTTAATAGGTTTATACATAAACAGGCACCAGTGCTGGATTAGCACACCACAATCTGGCTGGGAACAACAATCCAGCAAATCTTACACACAACTAGGCAGTTGCTACTGCTCAGACTGTAAGAAACTTCAGAGGGTCTGTGATTAAACCCCCCCCCTGGAAGTTAAAGTGCCATCCTAGGGAAGAGGGCTGGAAATGATAGCCTGGATAAACCACCACTTATCACACAAACACACAGAAACCTGAAAGGTTCTTCAATCCCAAAAATCACACCAAAAAAAAGACAACAGAAAAATTATACAGGACACCCATACACCTGTAAGACTCACCATGTACATGCTGCCAATCTTACAGTTGATTTAATCACCTAAATCAATTTGACAGCCTTAACCAGTAAGATGCAGGAAGAAGCATCTCCCAAGAGAGACCCTCCATTCCTACCTTTACAGGAATAATAACCTCCTATACTTATCCAAGAACAATGAATAATGCATAAAAAGCAGTCTCAGAGACATTCTCATTGCTCTTATGCACTTGTTAGGGTTTTGTAATACTTTTCTGTTTTTGGTCTTTCTAAGGTTCCATGCTTTTTCCCATGTTTGCTTATAGGATAGTATTAGAGGTCTTTTAACAATCATGTGTTTGGACAGTCCTTCTAAAAATGTGTAGCTGAGAACTGCAGGATACAGACAGAGTAAACAGCCTTTACTTTTGACTCCTATAATTCTACAGACACTGCTGGAGCTGCAGAAATACTCTTTGTTTCAGGTATTTTTATGGGCCATAACAAAACACAGCTTTAATTTATGCTCCTTGTCAGCCCCCAGTTAAACCACTGTGGCCTGGACATGAGCCTGAGTGGAGTCAGAAACTGAGGGAATCCAGACAGACAGTTGCTTGAAGTATGACCCCAAAACAACAAAGAAAAGTTGCATGAGAAGTTTTACAGTGAATGTTGAATATCCAGAGCCAATTCAAATAAGAACTGGCAATTCCTTATGTGTTCTGTCGGCTCTTTGAGTGTTGTAAGCTGGCTCCTGTAAAACAGTACTGCCTGCACATAAATGTTTTCTCTTGCGTTTGGTATCCCATGGAACAGATAGTTCTGGAGCACAGCTAAATATGTCCTTGATTTTAGAGGATTTTCCTTGCCAAGAATCTAGGTGAAGCCAGTACAACTTGCTTGCACTTGACATCAGGAAAAGATTATGATGCTTGAAAAGAGTAGAGGAACTTTCACACAAGAAATGTCTCTTCATTTACTCTGCAAAATACTTGGTGGCATCACATCCTTTCCCTGCACCACAAACAAGTCCAGCTGCCACTCTGACAAGTTCTGCCATGAACAAAGGGACTTCAATCACTGCCCTGTCACAGAAGAGGAAGATTCCCCCTAGTTATGTGTCAATGAGGGAATGGAGAAGCAAATCAAGGGAGGGAAATGGCACCAAGGGAAACTCCAGAGGGACAGAAGACTGGAAAGTGTGAAAGAAATACTCTGGAGGAAGGTTTTCAAAGATGTGGAGTGTGAGAAGTAGCTGAAGGCACCTACAGATGTAGTGAGGAAGTTCTCTGCACAAGAGAGCAAGCGTATCTGCGTACATCAGTGCTTTTAGAAGTGACACAGAGAACCTGGGGACAAATGCATGACTAGTTACAGGAAAACAGTCTGATCTGCAGAGTCAGTGATTCACTAGGGCTGTGAAGAATGAACAAGCAAGCTGGTTCTCCCACTAGCAAAACAGCAATTGTGTGACAGGAAGAAAGTCTCCCTTGGGCTGTGCCACGAGCAAGAATGAGAAGGAGAGGCACGTTGTGGATGGTTCAGTCGCTGCAGGCACCTGACAAAGCTCAGGTTCTCCATTTCACAAGAGTTCTGAGTCTGCACATGATGAACTTGTGCTGCTCCCCATGTTTAGTCTGATTAGCCTCTGGCTACTCATTTCAGAGCACCAAGAATTTATTTTTTGCCCTGGGTCAGAGATTAGCATTGCTGCTCCTGCACCTGTGTACCTGTTTATGGGACTCTCCACTCCTTCCCAAGGCATAGCACTTCTTAAATTTGGCAGTGTAGCACTTCAATACCTACAAAAATGATCATCACCACATTTGTGGTCAGTATCAGGTGGACCAGTGCTTGACTCACACTCAGGAAAAGTCACTGCACCCATCCAGGAACCTCAGAAGGAGAAATCAGGCTGAGGACAAACACTTTTCCATCTGGCTCTACAAAACTGCCACAGTAAAATAAAGCTTAGTTTCTGTGTCCTGGATGACTCTGGGTCTGGGCAGAGGTAATTAGGAGTGTCTCAGCAGAGAACAAACAACACTGTGTGAAGTTGGAGCCACAGGTCAGCACAAGTTCTGAGGTGATACACGCTCACACACAGAGCCAGCTGAGGTGTCCAAGCATGGAGCTGCAGCTGGAAGTACAGCCAAACCTAAAAAGCCTGAAAATATTCAAATACTGGAAGTTTGGCTCCTATTTATCTAGCTGTTCCATGACTCTGTAACTGTTCCTGTTCCAAGCATTTGTTCCCCTTTGCTGTACCTTTTTCAAGCTTGTGTATCATTCTGTGACTTACTCAGCCATACTTAAAAATACTAAGTAAAACAGCATTATTTTACTATCTGTGTTCCCACCAGGACCAAGGTCATTATTCAGAAGTAAAACAGAGCTCAGAGAAAACAGGGGGACAGCTGGACTGTGGGCTCTCAGATTTTATACTCCTTGCTAGTTACCTAGAAGACTTGTGGGAATGCTCTTAACAAGATGTCCAATTTAAGTTATTAACTTTCAAGCTACCAATGATCTTCTAGCAGCCAGAATGACTGAAAAGCATTATTTAGGTCATGCAATATATGGAATAGAACAGCCAGACACAGAATTCCTGTAGTTAACACAGCATATGGATTATATATAAACACACATACACCGTTCTGAACAGTGGATTGGCTTGGAAAGTCTATTCTCAAGTAATAAGTGAGGATATTTTGTTATGCAGCATTTGAAATTTCCTATGTTACTTTA